CTTTCCTTTAGGTTTTCCAAAAAAAAAATTGTTCACATTTCTCATCTGTCCTATACGTGCTACCTTCCCCACTCATCTCATCGTCCTCGATTCCTTCATGATCTGTTTCATTCAAAAAATATGATATTCGTCTGGAGGGACTGAGAAGAATAACGTAATACACACATGGTAATCAGCTTCTAGGTCGAGGCACTAATCGCGTACTTTATGAATACAAGTCAGGCGCGTTATTGCTTGAGCTAACCTACTCGATGAAAGTAAATAGTGTTTGGACATTTCTGATTGATATAAAATTATGTATCAATGCTCTTAAGCATAAGCTAAACTCGTCTAAACAATGTTTAAAAACTCGGTTACTACTTAAATTAAAACACAGCATGTCTCCAAAACTAAGATCAGATGTTTAATGGTGTTTAAAACAATTATACAGGATGTCTACAATAAAACGCCGTGATTTTGGAGAGTTTTTAAAAATAGGCAAATGGTTTTTTCAGGTCTCAAGGGTCTCCTGCGTACTACAGGAGTGAACGTTTGGTGTGGCGCTCACGTACAAGTGTATTGATTTTTTTAATTAAACTTGATATGTTGTGTGACTGATATTTATCAACAAGTAGGCCATATCTCTATTCCTTACTTCCTGAGAATACGATAAAATTCGGGCGTTTCATTGTAGACACTCTGTAGATGTTTCTTCTGAGAATCCATAGGCCTAAATACGCTCTGTAGGCAAAGTTCAGAGTTGATGAAAGTTAAAGTAGTGTTCTTTAAGCCTTGTTCACATTACGCGGTTTGCGCCGCGCGGTTGTTTTTACCATAGATGGCTCATTAAGTGTTCACATTCAACCGCGCCGCCATAAACGCGGTGTGCCTAACCGCGCGGTTGTGTTACCATGAGTTCAAATGCAGGCGTTCAGTTGCCCGCGCGGTTCGACCGAGGAAGCACGTGTAAAATGAATAAAGTACGAGACATGCAGCCTCCTCCACGTCCATGGTGAATCTGGCTGCCGCGGCGCAAACCGCGTAATGTGAACAAGGCCTTAAAGGGTTAATTACGTAGGTTCGAGTTCGACTTGTATAAATCGATCATGTGGTCTTAAATTTCGCAGTCGTTCCTTAAATAGGCACATGATAGAGTCAGAGCACGCCTGCAAGCTATTCACAGCACTATGATCATAGGCTTAGTGTGTGCTATAGTTCGGCATACAGCGTAGGCTCTCGTGAGGTGTTTATTAATGAACTGTGAAACCGAAGAAACTGATGCGGATTGCAATGACAGTTCGTGCAGTGAAAGTCCTGAGACTCGAGTACTGACTGGAACGGGCAACCGTCAACAAACAGATCGCTATTAATTTGCCTTGCAATGTACGAATGATTGTTAACTCCGTGTGGACTTGCAAACACTGACCTTTAGGTGAAACATACCACCTCCATGTTCAGTGCTGAAGACAAAAATCAACGATATACACTCTTATGGCAGATCTGTTTATGTCCGTCCGTGTCTTTGTTCGCCAGTGAATCAATTTCATACTTCAGAATTCTTTAACTTGAACATCGTCGTTTTGAGAACAGAATTTTGTTTGGGGAACTATATTAGCTCTACTGGCATGATAATTATGAGCTACTACAAATTCTACTAGTGGTTAGAGTGCTCGCCACTGGACCCAAGGTTCGCGGGTTAAATCCCGGCCGAGGTCGATGGATTTTTAAGGGTGATAAAAATCCGTAACACAACTGCCTTCGGAGGGGAAGTAAAGCCGGCGGTCTCATGTCGTTGATTCACGGCATGTAAAAGAAACTTGCGAGCATGATACGAGATGTTTCGTAAGCAAAATTCAGCAGCCATTTCTCTCCCAAGTCTCTCCTGATTAACTGCTAGATGGCTCTGGCAGTCAACTCAGGAAACTGAGTAGAAATTGTGCAGAGTCAGTGGGCTTGTCACTCACTACACATAAATGCACACTTCAAGACCTCCGAAAAAGGAGACGGCAAAAACCAACAACCGGGTTGTAGAGCCAAGAAACAACAACAAATTCTGTGTACAATCACTGGGACAGCACGAATCTGAATCAAGTACTACAGAGGGAACTATGCACACAATTAGTTTTTCTTTAAATACAGTGCTTTCGATAGTTGAACGCAAGTGTCACTTCCAGGCTACCGGCAGGAACTGCCATTATTTTGGCAAGTTGATTTCATTGCTGTTATGGAGCGATACTTGGCTCCTAGCCTTTTAGCACTTGGGGGTGAGTCATGCAATTTCATCCGGGAGCCGGAAAGTCAGTGAACGCATTGCATTAATCTGTGACTCTCTGGAACATATTCAGAGAAACAGGCAATAAGGACGAGTAGTCGTGAGTTCAAACCAGGACCTACTATCATGAAAGGATGAGAA